CTAAAATTATTCCAAAATAATGTTTAGCTAAAGAAAGGAACAAAGAAAAAAAGGAAAAAAAGATACTCAAAAACCCTCACATAATATTGGAAGTGTAAGTTGGTATGACATCTTTTGGATGTTAATTTGGTAATATCTATTTAAAAATTCATTTTCATTGATCCATTCAATACTATTTTAAAAAACTTATCTAGATATAGTCTTATATGTACATGGAAATACAAATGCATTTGCTATAATATTATTTATAATAGGAGCGTGGAAACCTTTTAAGGTCAATAAGTAGATAATTGATTAAATAAATTATAATAAAGTTACACAGTGGAATTCTAGGTAGCTGATAAAGAGAATGAAATGGATCTAAATATTATTGGTATGGAATGATCCTCAAGATAGATTGTTAGGAAAGCAATGAGTAGAATGTTATACCACTTAAAATGTTTTTAATTTTTACTTTTGTAAATAGGGAGTTTCTGAATCCTTGCTCTGTAAGCTAATGGATTTTCTCTGATTGGCAATACATTGTGGTGACTGGCTTTTCTGTTCTGTCTGGAAACAGGATGGCTGGCATCCCAGTGAAGGACCGTGTGAAGGTGTCTCAGAACTGGAGGTCAGGGCGCTGTCGAGAGGCAATTCTGATGAAGTGGAAATGCAGGCAAGTAGTCTTGACTTTTCAAAGCTGCTTGGGACAGGAAAGCTTGTTGGAAAGTAGGAAATGCTGCGGGTTGGGTGGCATTGGTGAGCTTTTAAGCACCACAGCAGGGTGCATCAGAAGGACAAATTTTTATCACATTGAAAAAAAAAAAGATGACAAGAAAAGTACTTTAATTAAGGTAGCAGATGGACATTGGGTCTCTACCAAGTACTCCCTCAATGCAAGAACACTTTGCTCTAATAACACAGCATTCTGTGATGCTCACCTTCCCGACATGATCACTGAAGACAAAATGGGTACATAAACAAATGTGGTGAAGAAAGCTGATGGTGTCTGGCTATCAAAAGATGTAGCATCTGAGATCTTAAAGGCTTGAAGATAAACAAGCCGCCATCTAGCTGAGAAGCAACAAAGCCCACATGGAAGAAGCAC